AACCTTGGTCATCATTAAGTTGGGAATAAATACAAACTTCTGGAAATATCACTCATTTCCAGTTTTAAACACATCTGCATGTTAGTGAATTTCTGAAAACAATATCGTAAAAAATGTTCACTTTGCACATTTCTCTCACACAACATGACATGGAAGCAGGAACTTGCGAAAACAGTTTAGCATGTAAAGAGGAATAAATGTCAACCTTTTTACGCTGACATCATCAGATAGTGCTTGTTTCAGGAACGATTTATGGACGTTTTCTTAACTCAGGAAGACATGCTAGTGCGTGGTTTAATTGAGTTACGAGATTTTATATGGGGATAAATGGCAACATTGCCTGGAGGCGTTTGAGATGGTTTACGGATCCGTTGGCGCTAAATAATCAAGAATGTTGAGAAGAAAAATCCTGTTTAAAGATTTTCATATTTATCCCCCATCCTGGTAATCACAAAGGAATGACAACAAATTGTTTTCCCTGCATTAGCAAATCATAACATGTACGCCTAATGAACGGTCACTCAAAGCTAGAGATGCATCTATAAGGTGTACTATCTATTTAATCACTAAAGTACTCCAAGCGGTTTGTGGCTTATTCCAATTAATTGGAAAGGAAATATAAACAATGATATAATTTAAATAAAAATATTATTTTTTTCTTGTCCGACCCTGCATTCTTCCAAAATTTGCCCAACAAAGGCAGATTTGTGAAGTGGGACTTGCGTGAACTGAATTGTTCTTTCACTGAAATCTGACTCTATATGAGGAAGTATTTGATAGCCTTGGTACATTTATATACAGCGTTGGGTATTTGATGGTACATAGGACATACAGTTTCTTCAATTTACCTTCATATCTCCGAAGAACAATACAAAAAAGGCTATAAACATAGATCCGTGGAAGTAACACACCATCCTTAAACATGCTACATGTCAATTGAATCCATTTCCATGCACGACTTCCTGTACAATGAAGCCTGAAGCTGACATCATCACGGTGACCAGTAAAGAACGTGTCAGTCGGTGATTCGTTAGACGAGTCAAAAGCATATTTCCTGCATGTTCAATGCCCATCATGATATCTTCACCAAAGTGGATTGTATACCCTGAGTAGAACATAAATACTTCATCCTATTACTTACATGACGTCGACCCATTTCTGGTGTCCCCGCCGTGATATTGCTGGAATACTGCTAAACGCGGCGTAAAACAATACTCACTCACTCACTCACGACGTCGATCAATACACCTGTGTGCAGAAGTGCCTGTTTGTATATCCTATAAGACAGAATCTAAGCTGATTGACCGACAAACCTCGCAAGTATGGATATAAATATTACACATCTGAGTACGTGGGTAATAGTATTGATTAATGCAGCAGGAATTCGGAGCATTTTCGACTTTTTATTATAAAATGAAATGAACTTCTTCGTGACAGTTAGCGTCGATCATGGCCAAAATGAATAAAACAAAAACTGATACAAGAATATTTCCTTCCAACCCTTTAACCATTGCTAACTATACTGTGCTGGAATGTCATAAAGTTTTGGTACGACTGTATCTCACAAACACTACTGGCTCAAGTGAAATCGGTTTGCTTCTCGAGAGCCACTGACACCCCAAAATGACCCCAAAACGATTATGTTATTCATGATTCATGTTGAATTCTTTTCCGAATCTGCATAAGTGAGATCAAGTTGCACGTTTTCATGTTTCACACAATCGTGAAAATTGTGGTCTACCTGTCTATATTTTACAGACCTGTGTACTACTCTTTACTTAAGTATCAACATCGAAGCATTGAATTAGTGTTTCTTAAAGAAAACAAACAAAACAAGAATTTCACATTTCGAACTCGCACTTTGAAAAACTGTGTTTATGCTACATGGCTGACCCACCGTGCCTAAATATATACACCAAAACACGTATGCTCAAGGGGCCTCAATTCTGGCTCCCGAGCTGTTTCAAAATCCCATGTACATTTCTTCAATCATCCTTATGCGCTTGCACTACATCCGAATACAGGTAAATGTCATCATCCCAGTGTCCTACAACAACATTGAGCACAAAACTAGTTTCAGCTGATACATTTCTCAATAGGCGGAAGTTATACTGAAGAAAAATGCTAGGTAAATACTGTTTTTGGATGATTTACCGCGAACCAAGATCCTGCGTCTGTCGAAATGAATTGAAGGGAATATGAAACTTGTTATCAAGCTGCCAAGACTATGGCCACAAACAAAACATTAGTCTTATGAAGGTGCTTAATATGCACCAAGAAGCTAATCAACAAATGTGACCTCCTCTTAGACATTAAAGAGTTTCATGCAAGATTGGGCCATGTCTCCTCTGTAAAACCAATTATTTAATTTCCTTATGAAACAACAGGGGCATCAGGTATATCCATCCAAAACCTCTCTCCTGGTTCCAGTGAATTACTACGTTAGATCTAAGAAAGCATTAAGGGAAAACAGTCGATACTATAATTCACGAGACTGAGAGACGAGCTTCGAACTGAAGTACCAGAGGATTCCATTACACGTACCGTTAGTCGCCAGTCGTTGGATGTTTCTTTCATCTTAAATGCAGTTTAGCCAGATATCAACTCAATAAATTCGTATTAATCGAGGATGTATGGATATTTATAGATAGTTTCCTAACGATCGTCGTCATAATCGCGATTAGTTCTTATCTAAAGTGTAGACTCACAGTAAGTGGATGTCATCTTTGTACGATTGTGCGTGTACACGGATAGGAAACGAGGTCAGGAGAAACGGTGAGGTAAAACTTTATCATTATAATCATCATCATAATCATCATCATCATGGGCATGGTTGGCCTCGACCTCTCAGGACTGTACAGACGAGCGTTCCTCAGGTGGATGTGCGTGGGTTCACCTTGCCCATGTTTCTAGGTGACGAGTGAACGCCTTAATCACTAAGGTACCCCACCGCCCCTCATACATAAGGATCCGACCTCGTTTGTAAACGTTGATTAATAGTAGCACTTTTGAGCAGCGTGGTGTAGTGATACGTTAGCACCTAATCAGTGTTAGCATATCATGGCACTCGTTTAAACTTTATTCATAATATGATTCATTTTATCAAAACTGTATAACGAACACGTTATAATTACAAGGAAGCTTCACTGCATACGCACACATACATCCCTTTGGCGTGTAGAGACAGATGAGAATACGCAATTGTACGAGGTTTCTCAGCACACAACCATGCATGTGAGAGTTAGTGAATTAGCAAGTGCGCAATATATGTAATTTCAGTTTTTGATCCAACATCAAGATGACAGGCAGTGATAAAACATGAGTACTGCTGAAAGAGGAATCTGACCAATCTAACTCAATCAATGAACGAATGTTATCCTACCATCTACATCAGCGCACACAATCACATCACCATTGGTTTACATACCAAAGTATTTACTTCTAGATACTTCCACTCAACCCGAGTTACAATAACTCATTCTTTCGTATACATTCTGTTTTTCTTGTGTTACGAGTTGTCTACAAGAAACTTTTAAGAGTTGAAGAAAAACTGAGACAGTTACGTCTGTGACACCTCGACTCATTTTGATAATCCATATTTTCTGCCAAGGTCTAGTCCACAAAGTGAAATATCTCTGCAAGGATCTTATACTTGGAGATAACAAGGGCACGGAACTCCACAGCTTATCAATGGCTTGGACACAGTCCAATGGAGAGCACAGGCCCTTATGATAATATGTTCCCATTAATGATATTTTAGGTTCTAATGTTTTATTACGTTTGTGTAATAGCCTGAATTCTACAGTATGGGTATTCTTGTTTTTAGAAACGAAAACATGTTTTCTCCTATGGTTGTGGAGTGGGTATTGCATGATCGTTTGTTATAATTGTACTTTTGTTGGGGACCGGTCATTAATGGCAGAGGTGTGTGTATGTAACATCTATATGATTCAATGATCCCATAAAAGCTTGATCCTTCCTTTTTAACTTGAGCAGTGTGAGCTTGAAATCTTTCTGATGACCCCTTTTCTTATATAACGCTGTGTTGTGTTGTCACTCTACCCTATGTCAAGCCCTGTAATGTATGACCAGTCTCTTATCACCACGGTTTACTACAACAACCCTCAGTGGCAATGCTACAGGTTCTGATGCTTAATACGCACTCAGTGCACCGAGGTGATATGGGTTTTTACGTCGTTCTTGAGAATATTTCGTGTGTATGTGTTTGTGTGGCTGCTTGTACTAGCCCAGACTTAAGCTGGTTTTATAGTGCTAACCCACTGAGATACCATGCCGCAGTTAAGCATGAATACCCCACTCAGACACATTATACTGACTCTGAGACGACCAGTCCTTGTTGTACCCATTAATGCTGAGCGCCAGACAGGGACCAACAAGTACCATATTTTAACGTCTTTTGGCATGACGCGGTCGGGGATCGAAGCCGCGACCTTCCGCTCTCCGGGCGGACGCTCTAACCACTACACCACGGAGGCGGTCTAGTGCACCGAGAGTTACATCGCTAGCATCGATTATTCTGCAACAAATAGTGTTAAAAACACTTCCAGAGACATCGGTTAACGAACCAATGTACGAAGGTGATGTAATACTTTTGCAAGTTTAACTACACAAAGACCTGTAATTGCTCTTTGATTCATTTATACCTCAAGTACTGTGATGTGTTTCGAACATCCAACCATCACGTTTTTGCGCCAATAGCATTCGGCAATTATGTTGGCACCATTCGAAACGATAGAGCGTGGTACAATTTCTTTACTTTGCTTTTTTTTAACCTTAAGTATAAACTGTTTCAGAAACATGGTTGTGCGTGCATTGTTCAATTCACCATTGACAATTGTGAATAAGTGATATGCATTAACCTTATTTTGTGTGAGGCTGTAAAATCTTTGAAATGGGAACATATAAACAGTAGTTTGTTTCAGAGCCTCGTAAAAACAGAGACGGTCTGTGTCAAAGTTTGAGTTAAGCTGTTTGGAAAGTTGAAATTTGTTAAATTTTACAGTCATAGTTCAATCATCTATCTTTGTGTTCATACATTAATGTATCTGTTTCTCATCTTGTTATCGGGTTACGAGTGGCCCAGTGGTCTACTGCAGTAATTTTAGTGTTCTTGCACAGTTTTATCTTTATTGTTCGACGGCTCATGCTATAGCAGCTTGTTTTAGGTTTGCAGTTCAGTTTCATGTACCTCAATCGATCTAACACCACACTGCTGAACGTTTGTTTTTCTATAAGTATTTTATTCTTTTACCTGTCAAATATCATCGCAGAGATGACAAGTTGGGAATATATATATTCAAACTCAAAACCTAGTTCAACGTTAAATTGAAAATCTTGTATTGTACCTTTCACTAAATAGTGATGGACGGAGGTTGGCAGTTGATTCCATGCTATCAAGGCTTATGTCATCGTATACATGTTGGTCCAACCTTAGTTGGTAGATTCGCAAATGCAATTTAATCGTAAACGTCTGAAGACACAAACTGACACGTGAAATACTTCTCTACTGACACTTCACTGCTAAAGAAAATTTGATACGCAACCTTCAAAGGCAGAAGAAAGAATGACCTGTTACTCGGTGCACTATGAACAGTTTCACAATCTTAGTACTTCAACGTTGTGCGTCTGGTCTAGTGGTCGGAGTCGAATTAATTGGCTGTGACATTTGTAAGGAAATATAGAATTTAATCAAACTGTACCATTACTGAGAAAATACAGTTGTGCCTTTGGCTTTTTACAGATGAATGTAATTCGAGCCGTGAAGAATAAGTCTTCAGCAACCCATGATTGTTGTAACAGACTAACGGGATTGAGTTGACTGAGATGACCCAATTGCGTAGATAAATACTCATGTTGATCACAGGTTTGTCTGGTCCAGACTCGACCTTTTGCTGACCGCTGCTACATAGCTGGAATATTGCTGAGTGCGGGGTTAAACAAGACAAGACACAGACACACACACAGACACACACACAGACACACGATATATAAAGTAAATTATCATCATCCACACAATCATCATAGGTATTTTTGTTTTAAAAAGTATTGTTTGCTGGCTGTCCAGAAATGAAACATTTGGTAAACATAGTTAACGTTGTTCTTTCTGTCCAAGGAATTGTGCAGTGGCCGAAATCTATTATATCTAACAGCAGCCTGGATTGTGTCTCCAAACTATCATTTCCCACTCACAGACGTATTGACATGTTTACAACCAACTACAGACGCCTGTGACATAAAATGTGTTAGTGTTATTGAGGCGCCAACAACCCATGTATTGCCGATGAAAAGAAGCAAATGTACTCCCCATACATATTTTGTTCTAAAGGTACTCCAGTAGTGGGCACAAATAGCTACCATTCTCCCAATTCAGAGTTCCGGCCACAGTCACTCTCACTAATAGAGAACCAGACAGCGTTGATGACGTTAACACGTCCACGAGGAAGTACTGGATGTATTATGACTACCATAACACGTTCCAGCTTCAGTTAGATAATTCGTTTCTCGTCATTTCCCGTTTTCTCGCCTAGTAGCCTTTTCTCGTCTCTTAGTCTTGTCTCGTTATAAATACACAAGATTACAAGACACGACACCGGAATTTGTGGTTACTCTAAATTCCTATGCAACTATATATCCTGATCGCTAACATATCTTTAGCGATTAACCCAATAAAAGTATATGAGTATCAGGTTGTGTGAAATCATTTAAACAACCATAGTCTTTATACTATAAAGATATGGTTGCAATGCAGAAACGTACAAAAGATGCATTTCTCACCCGAATGACAATAGAATATCGATAGACGGCACTTGTATTTCAAATATTGGAATATGTATGCCACTGTTTTAAGAGACTCTCACACTTTAACGTGTTTAGATTTGTCTGAGGTGTCGGCTTACAAAGATTGTGGTTCAAACTACAACGAGTTTAATGAGCCACACCCTGTGGTTTTATCGGAAGGATGGAATTGATATGAATATATAAGAAATAAAATGCATGAATTGCTTTTTATGTATCAATGCATGCAATTCAATCACTCGTTGACGTGTGCATTCATTTTTTATTGTGTTTGAAATGCCACAAGGCAAAGTATCCACACAGAGATAATTTGATTAACATTTGCCTGATCAAGTCTAATTAAACGGTCATTTGGGCATCCACAAGAGTAAGCCCAAATTACTACCCAATTCTCAGATACAGTTCTCGTAACAGTTTATTGTCACACGTCATTTTGAGCGAATAGGTCTATAACCTCACTGAGGTGAGTGCAGCTTGTCGTATCCAGTTACAAATTGGCATCCGTTTGCACATGAAACAGTACGCCAGCATTTATTCCAAATCATTTCACCTTCCCGCATATTTCCGCCAAAGAGACAATTGAGTTTGGAGTTCACTACATTTGTAAATTCGTTTTATCTATGGGAAATGACCTTCGCCTGGAGACTGAAGTATAAACTGATAACCACGCTTCACTTTATTCCCCAGTAAGGAATTAAGTACTTGTATTTAGTGGAGCATGTCGTTGGGGTTCCTGTTTCATTACGGTAATCGGGAAGGGTATGGGAGTGAGTTAGTGAGTGAATTAAAATTTAGAGTCACATCGGCAGTATGTTTTCAGCCATATCGTGACTAGGAAAGATGTACATTTATAAATGAATAAAAACAACTTATATAATATACTTATCTGTCTCCAAAGGACAGTAAAACAACTACATTATCACAGAAATAAATTTATACTAGTAAATAAATCTAACATATTTTAAATATAAATGACAATACAATATAAGAACAGGCTATATATTGCCAACAACTGAAGGTAGATCACCATACTAGGGGGCGTGCAGTACGTTTGCCTTCTGCATGGACCCTAGATGGATTTACAATCTCCCTTCAGCCATTAGCAATTTTAGAAAATGTATCCATAAATTAAAAGCGCATATATACTACGATTAAAAATAATAGCAGGTTTAAATTTACTTTGAATGCTTTGGGACAATAATTTAACAATACGGAAGGGTATGGGAGGACACGGAGGAAAACGGCACTATGTGTAATGTTAATTTCACCAGCTACGATCTCTGAGATCAAATATATGACTAACAATTTTAGGGATATGCTCACAGTTTGCTGGGAGTTGTTTGATTACACCTGCATTTGTAGAATATCAAAATGAAAAGATACCTTACGGTTTTAACAGCAGAATACAATGCTGACTTTCTAGTATGAACGACTCGTTTCAGAAAGACAGACAGACAGACAGACAGACAGGTAAGTAGGAGGTCGATAGATGTTCTTTATTTTTTCCATGGTATAAGATTACTACCAGTCTGTCTCTTCGCTCTGCATGTCTGTCTACCAGTATATACGTTCTTATAACAGTGGTGTCCACTTTCATTGCGGTCAGCAACTACCGATAGGATGTGCTTACATTTTTGGCAATGGTCCGACGCCGTCGCTGATTTCCGGTGATCCAATCGTGTCATTTTCACTGTTAAATGTCACGAAACGGACGGAATTTGTTTCTGGGGATGGTCAAGACTGGCCGTTCGTTTGCACTGACATTCTATATTTGCAAATACGTTACAGCCCTATCGCCTACATTGTAAAACAATTCTTTCACATAATTTTACGAATAGCAACCTTTCGGTTGAGACCACCAAAGTACAAGCCATAGCTCTGATAATATCAAGCATTTTGGGGGGTTTCTCAAGGGCTACGGTCGTACGTTGAAGGAACGATCTGTGTACTCATATAAACTCTTGCGTATGTAACCGATTCTTTTTCTTTCAGCTTAACTGTGGCGCTACTTTTCTTGCGCTCCTTAATGCTATTATAGCATTTTGCTAGTATTGTAGTTTAGCCATCTGTTAGAATAGTTTCATAAAGCTGGATTATTACTAAATGCAGAGTTAAACAACACAAACAAGCATGTATGGCTATGTTCTAAAGAAGCACCATGGAATTATTACCATTAAGTTAATATAACCATTACCGGTTAAGATTCATGATAAACATCATATTCTGTGTAATCGTTTTGAAAGTCAAAATCGACAAAAATAGCCAGATGCTCGCGAAAAGGGTTTGCTTGTTCTTTCCCTCCGCTTGTACCTGCCACAGTTGGAACAAGGCTCAAGCATTGATGATGATGGGTGGCAGAAACAGTATACATATACCCAAGCATAAAATATAAGTTTAGAATTCTAAACCACTCGGGTTGATAGTAATACACGTGCTTTCAGAAACGTGAAAGAAAAGACGCCAAATCAAATTCAGTTGAGTCTTCAGGGCTGCTACTCTCAACTGGGGAATTCTTGTTGTATTCTGAAGCAAGCAACATCCTAGCATCTTCTCGCTCGGTGGACTGCAATCGTTATTTTCGTCGGCTCTTGCGGCATGTACGGTGTAGTTGGGACCTACTGTATCTCGGACCTTCAAGAATGTACCTTGATACACTCACACCACAGGTAAGGGAAAGACATGCCTATCCGAATAGCGTGCATTTCGAACAGTGCTCTCCGTTTGTGAATCTGCCTGATCACATAAATATACTGCAAGGTACAACATCGATAAGAACATCATCCTGAACAAAATACCCGGATGTACGTCGGTACATATCAATAAATTCATTCTTAGTGAGTGAGTGAGTGAGTGAGTGAGTTTGGTTTTACGCCGCTTTTAGCAATATTCCAGCAGTATCACGGCGGGGGACACCAGAAATGGGCTTCACACATTGTGCCCATGTGGGGAATCGAACCCGGGTCTTCAGCGTGACGAGCAAAAGCTTTAACCACTAGGCTATCCCACCGCCCCAAATTCATTCTTAGAGCATCGCCTGTCCGAAGGCATGACAAATTGGTTTCATCAACCAATGGGATTTTTAAAATACATGTCTTGTATGTCTTTTGACACAAAAAAAGACACCCTGAGATTCCCCACGTGTCTATTCTTACTTAAAAAACAAATACATCTACACATAATGCGACTTCTTCAAGTCAAACCATGTTTTTACTTCAGATTCTAGCTTCTTAAACAGATCATGGACATGCGATTGCACTCGTCTCAAGCTAACTAAGTCTGACACATCGAGGCCACTCCAGCTCCTTGACAGTCTTGGCCTTTGCATTGAATTACCTCGAGGAGTTGTTATTTCAAAGGTGACACTAACTGTTAACTTGGAAAAGCTGTGTAACATTTCGGAAAAAGTGAAAATCGAAATAGGCCAAATATGTTAGATATAGTGTAATTATACATAAAATATTTACATGTATTTTAATGTAAATAAATATTGTATAATAACTGTTGAAATCAATTTTAGGGTTAATAACGC